GGCACATTTAAATAAGCAATTGTGATAATGAAGGGTTGATACGAAAATATATAGGATTGGTGAATAGTCCAGAGCAGAATGAGAGATGCCATAATTGTCTAGCCGACAATTGGTAAAAGGATCGACTTCACTTGTCTCTTTGAAAAGTTGTAGTGTTGTGCTAAAACTGGCAAGGCTCACTGACGATGCCGGCGAAAAGTCTGGGAATATACCACGTCCACGGTCCGACTCTGGAAGTTATAATGCTTACTATGGACTCCGGACTAGGTGTGTTTCTCTAGGTCTTTCTATTAATATGATCAAGTTGCGAAAACAAGATAAAAAAACTTCGTTAGTTTTTATAAGTGGGACCATACCAGAGGCCACAACATCTTGATCTTCTTAGGTTTAGCTCACCAAAATACGACTGCGATTCATGTTACATTGCTTACTTTTGATAGTACTTTGGCGTTCAGGTTGTTACAATCCATGGAACATTCTCCTTTGGTTCTAGTCGAACAAAATTAGCCTTTTAAGTGGTCTTACATCGTTTTCGTAACTTGTTTGTGGTGTCATTGCAACCTAGTTTGATGCACATTGTCCGATATCCAATATTGGACAGTTATGATAATTTCTGGCATCGGTTTGTGGGCTTGGTGCATTAACCTGAAGTTTCTCCGCTATCGTCAGGCCGTATTGTCAGCCTTATCACCAAGCTACAACTCATCAAGGAGATAAGTGAAGCCAATCCCTTAACCAGCATTCCGCCTAAGGTTTGTGCTATCACTCCTTTTCTGGTATGTCCACCGACCTTGTATATATTCGTATCTCATTCCCTCACTATCACAATTTCTGATTGATTATATTCGACTTTTTCTACGGGTGTCCTTTTGGTGGAGTTTAGTGTAAAATTATCATACCTGCTTATTTACTTTGCCTCCCCTTCATCTCGACATGCTGGAATTCCTGATCCGACTCGGATTTCCTATCCAAATTTCGCTCATGGTCCTTAGGATTGGCTTTTTGTCATACTGATTTATTCATTTCACTCGGTTTCAGTTTAAGTTTTTATTGCAGGCCCTATTTTTCATGGTCTGTCATTAGCCTTTCGTATCACGTATACTGTGACCTCCGAATAGAGTGCCTAGGCTCTGAATCCCATGCTTAAAGATGTCAGGCGGTTCTCATGGCCTTTCTTTGTGACTCAACTCGTGTACCCTAAGGAAACATTGGCAGTCTATCTTTTTTCTCTTGATGCATTTCGAGTGGGTTTCTAGTCCATTTGGCTCCGATATTCTAGCCATAGTACCGAATACCTTTGTCAATTGTGATTATCAGTCGCCCTAGTCACGTGGCCTCCAGTCCTCCAAAGTTATGGTTGTTTCTTCGACTCCTTTTTGCTTGTTTTTTCCTAGTTTGATTAGGCAATAGGCCACGTTATCACTAACTCTGCCTTCTTCCAATATCATATTAACTACCTTTTCCCCCCCAAGAATGTCAATGGCCTCCCTAATTTTCCGTTTCTTTGTGTTTCCATGATATGAGGTTCTTCTTTCTGTTGCCTTCCAATTGATCTCGTATCCAGTCTGTGCTGTGTTCCGCTATATCCGATCTTCCAATATCGAATTTCCTGTAGAAACTTTGATGTTCCTTGATTCGTGTGTTGATTTTTCTCCCTATCTCGCCAATATATTTCTGTTCGCATGCACCGCATTATATACAGTAATCTCCAGAGCTAT